CACTTCGTCCCATTGCATTTGGTGCCCCCCCTGCTTCCCCTTCTCCCGCCCTCCCCCCCCCCTCGGTTCGCCGATCGAGGCAACCAACTGCGCCAGTCAGATCCCGCTTGCGGGAAGCAGCTGTGCAACCGGCGCAAGCCCGGTAGCGACATATCTTCGACTCGTGCGAAGGATATGTTGCAAGGCACCATGGCCTTCCGTAATACTGGTACACCTTTATCATGACTATGATCGGCGTGCGTTAGTGCCTGTTGGTATGTCTCGGCCCATGCATGTCGTGCGTCACCGTGTTTCGGTCCATGCAACATGCAGCGCCGGTCCAGCACCCCCTCCACCCAAGAACTGGAGGCAGCGGGCGAAGCCCATCCCTCCAGGAAGTCCGTACCCTGCCAAAGATCATTGCAGTAGATGCGGGCTCTGGTGAGAGCATGGAGTGATAGAGACCCGGGTCTGTGGTCCTACTCACATCCCCACTGCTTCAACGGGAAACTAACAACGCGGCCCATGCATGCTCCTCGCAGTGACACATATTACGTGGCGCATGTGAAGGAGGCGTGTGCATTCCTGGGAGATGGCATGGGAGCCATACATGACCTGGAAAAGGAGGTCCATGGGCGAGCCAGGCAAGTCGGTAACGGCCTTGGTGTGTTCTGTGAGATGTATTGGGCTGACGCTCATGCTGTGGCATACGACTGCCCACTTGTTCATGGGCACACCCCACTCCAACCACTCAGCCCAGCATTCTGTTCACAGAGACCTCACAGACACCCAGGAGCAGGGGATGGGCGTGACAACTGAGGTGCTGTATGCCCGGGTCAAGCCCCCAGTGCCCGGGGCTCAATGGACAGGCGTCGTCACACAGGTGCGAACAAGGGAGCCATGGGTTGTGCGCAGGTTATCCCATGAGTCTTGCAAGGCGTCCCCTGTGGCTTCGCTGTCCCCTTCACTGCCCACGAAAAATACTGTGCAGATCGCAGTCCAGGCGCTGGAGACGGGGCTGGTGGAGGCCGTTGTGTGCGTGCAGAGCGAGCCAGGGGACCACTTGGCCCCCTTGCCCGTGAGTGGTGGGATCAGAGAGGGAACTGAGGAGGGGTGTGCGCCCTGGCTCGGCTTCCGTCCAACTCTCCCACCCTCCCACTGGCTCGCCCACGGACCAGGTGGTGGCGCGGAGCGTGGCGGACATCGTGGCGGCGCGTGGCGTGAAGCCCTCCCTGTCCCCCAACCTGAACACCCTGGCCCTGGTGGAGAGCCTGGGCATCAAGCGCCTGCTCTTCATCGGCGTGGGGTGCCAGGTGAAGACGTTTGGTTGCTGCTGCTGTTGTTGTTGTGTGTTGTTTTTGAGGGGGGTGGGGTGTTGTTGTGTGGGCTGAGTATTTGGTGCCAGGCCTGGGCACATGCCATTCCCACCATGACCATCCTGGCAATCCCCCTTTCCTCCCAAGGTGCAAGCGCTGAGGCATGTGGAGAAGCACCTGGGGCTGGAAGCGCTATACGTCCTTGGCACCAACTGCGTTGACAACGGGCGTCGGGAGGGGTTGGCAAAGTTCCTGCAGGCCGCCAGCGACAGCCCAGACACCGTGCTGCACTATGAGTTCATGCAGGCGCGTGCGAGGGGAAGAAAACGTGGAGAAAGAGACAGCAGGTGCCAGTCACTCTGTCTCCTGCAGGCAGGCAAGGGCGAAACCCCTGCGATTTTCTCTCTGCAAGCAGGACTCAATACCTTGCCAATCCCCACATGAAAACCCTGCAGGACTACCGGGTGCATCTGAAGCATAGGGACGGCCACTTCGAAAAAGTGCCCTACTTCTCCCTCCCCGCCAATGACCTGAACGACGTCATCGCGCCCTCCTGCTACGCCTGCTTCGACTACGCCAATGCCGCCGCAGATGTTGTGGTGGGGTACATGGGCGTGCCCTCGCTGGGAGTGGACATGACTCAGCACCTTCAGGTTAGTTGGTGAGGGTGGGCATCATTTCTTTTGCCAGAGTTTGGGGCCCTGTCCTGATGCAGTGGGCCTGCCTTGGATTCTCTTTGGAAACCCCTCACTCACCCCTCCCAACCTTCCTCCACCCATCCCATCACCAGTATGTCACTGTGAGGAACGAGCGAGGGGCTGCCCTCCTCAAATTGATCGAGGAAAGAGTGGAGAGGAGGCCTCCGGTGTCGGCGGGCGATCGGAAGGCGCTGGTCCTCCAGACCGTCTTGGCCGATGACGAGTGCGTCTGTGTCCGAGGAGGTTCCAGATACTGCTGCCAATGCCCCTGGGCATGCACTTGCAGGGATGCATACTTCTTGTCTGCCTTCCTGACGTGCCTGGCAGCAGGTCCGCAATGAAAAAAGCCCATACCACCACCACCCATTGCGCCTCTTTGCGCAGGGCCAAGCTGGGCAAGGGGCCCAAGCCGATGCCACGCTTGCTGGGCACTGCCCTGGCCTGGCTCCTGACCAGGCTGGGGCCCCGCGGCATGGAGTTTGCCCGATACTCCCTCGACTACCACGTCATCAGGCAAGGATTGAAGTCCCATGCATGCATTTTGTGTCAGTCTTTGCCGGCGGCTGTTTGGATTCTGCACCGTCACAAATCCAAACATTTCATCCCCTCTAGACAAACCCGGCATCGCAGGAACTACCTCCACGTCGTGCGCACCTGGGGCAAAGAGAGGGCAGCGAGGCATGTGCCAGCCTATGCCAAGCAGATTGTCGCAGACTACGATGCCAAGGGTGCCATCTCTGCCAGGTAGGTGGGTGCCTCTGATGGGCAGGGTCGGGCTGCAGGCAGCATTTAGGGCCCTGCCATGCGGGTGTCACCTTTACTCCATGCAGCTTGCCATCGCAAGTTTTTCTGCTGGCATTCACAGGCTGGCCCTGACGGACGCGACATCGAGCAAACGCGCAGCCGAGTCGAGCTGACCTGGCGACCATCTGCAAGTGACAGCTGTCGAGTCCTGGCAGCGCCCTGCACGGCTGCTGCTGGTGCTGCCTTGATATTCTTGCCCATCATCAAGCCTTGTAGAATGAGAGACTGGTCAAGAGCCCATGCTCTTCTGCTGTGTCAGCAGGGCGCAGGGCTTCACTCCCGGCCAGCGCACAGGTGTTCTTCACATCCTCCTGCAAGGTTATTGGCTCGGCCACCTCAAGAGAGTCAAGCTACGCCAGGGAGTGGCACAGGGCGGGCAGCACCTCGTACATGGCAAAACCTGACTCTGCATTCGTCACTGCGGCCAGAAAGCCGGCCTCGTCGAGGGTCGGGGAGTCGGAGGTTTCATCGCCAGAGTCCCGACGCCCGCCCTCCTCGTGGCCGGGCGAGAAGATGCGACGCAGCGTCGCCACGTAGGCCTGGGCGTCCTGCACCGTCACGCCCGCGCTCCCTTTCTTCCAGCTCAGAATGTCAAAGGCCGCCATGACCCGCCCCCTGGCTCCGCCGTTCCTGCACGGCGGGGGGTGCGCGCGTGGGTGCATGGAGGGGGAGGGAGGCGGGGGCCAGCGGGCCAGTCCCTTGCGATATCCAAGCCCGATCCTGTGGCCCCGAGACCACGCACCCCAGGGCCGCAAGGACCATGAGCAGCATGGCCAGGTCGACATGCCCAGTCCTGCCGGGGTCGAGCGGGGCCAGCACCCTCGAGTTCAGCGTGCGCATCATGTGCTGGAACTGCGCGGCGGGCGTGGCGTGGAGCACGCCGCGCAGCAGCGCCTCCGCGCGCGTCAGCCTCAGCTGCTTGCCCTGGAGTGTGGTTGTGGGAGGGGGGGAGGGGGGGACGGTGGACGCTGATGGCGGCAAGGGAGGGCGTGGCGCGGGACCCCGCCGCAATGTCATCACCCAATGTCTGGAGCGTCGCCAGACACCATGCCTGCACCTGCTTCAGGCTCGCCACGTTGCCGTCGTGGGCCTGCGCCACCAGGTCCCCCGGCTTGACCTCGGCGAGGGGTGCCAGGTGCTGCAGCACCGGCACGTCCACGGCGGCGGTCACGGCCTTCACATCGTAACCCAGGCGGGCGAGCTGGGAGCGGGGCGTCCGGGCCCCCAGGGTCACGCTGCTGGCGCCCCTGGCTGGAGACTGGTGCGGTCGATGTGGTGGGGGTGGTTGTGGATGAGACGGTGTATTTCGTTCTACTGGGGAGAGGGCGTGGCAGGTGATATCGAGGAGGGGACGGGCGTGTGTGACCGAGGACTGCGTTCAACACAAGCAAGTGTGCACAGGGGCGTCTGTTAAACCCCCTCATCGCCCAACATGCCGAGCCTCTTACCGCGCCGCCTGCCGGCCTGCTGCTGCCCAGCCCACGGCTGAAGAGGCCGCGGCTCTGGGGCGTGGGGGCTGCACCGGTGCCCAGCGACTCCACCTTTTACGGGGGGAAGGGATGGAGAGTTGCTCTCTCTTTTCCAAGCAAATGCTGCACGAGCTCATCAAAAAAGCCCTATGCTTGGCTATTCACTCGCCACGGATGTAGTGAGCTTCTGCCCATCATCGAGCACGCCCCCTCGATCCCCCTGCCCAATGCACACAGGCGCCCTGGCGCGACATGCCTGCGCGGCCTTGTCGGAGATGTAGGACATCATCTGCGAGATGGCGTCCCAGTCCGCGCCCTGCCTCAGCATCTTCTTCAGCTGGTCGATCTCCTGCTGTAAGAGGCCTCCCTGGCCTGCAGTGGTCGGGGAAGAGCGGTGGAAATGCGTAGGGTGGTCCGAAAGCAGGGCGCCTTGTGCCTGCCTCCAGCTGCGGGGCTTGCGTCAAGGGGCAGGAATACTCAAAACACACAGGCGTGCATAGTCGGCTTGAAACCAAGACATGCCCCGAGGGAAGAGCATCACTCTGAAAGCTGCTGCACCCTCCTTCCCCTCGCAGCCCTGCCTCACCAGAGAGCCTGAGCGCCTGCTTGAGGTTGAAGGCCGCCTCGTCCCGATCGCCGATGCAGGTCTGGACCACAGCCTTGTTGAGCAGGGAGCGCCAGTGCCCTGGGTCCGCGCACAGCACATGGTTGAAGCTGCGAGGAAGGTGAGGGCGTGTTGTGTGGGACTGGGGGTGCCATACTGCGAATCATATGTGTGTGGCCCAGTTGGGCGCTGCAGCCCGCCAGCTGGCCAGGCTCCCGAAGGGCCATCTGGATCACCAGGCCTTGCAGAGCTCACTGACCTCGTCCGCGTCTGTGATGACCCCTTTTCAAAACCCCCACACACGACAGGCACCCCCTCCCACTCACCTCTGGATGGCGCTCTCCATCTGCTTGCACTGGCGATGTAGGTTGCCCATGTTGAAGTGGGCCTCCAGATGCTTGGGGTCGCACTTGACGGCGTTCCGGAAGCACTGCTTGGCGTTCTCCACCTGGTCCAGCGCGCAGTATGTGCAGCCCAGGTCGCAGTGCGCGTCGGCGTAGTCCCGCTTCAGCCTGAGAGGGCAACATGAGGGTGGGAAGGGGGGAAACCCCGGCATGGGTAGGATGCGGGCTATGGGGTGGCACTTTTACCTACGAGCCGGTTGTCCTCTTGAAACGGCGCATGCTGCAGCGCATCTGCAGCGAGTCTCACGAGTGTCGATTGCGCCATCGAGGCGTGCCCCTCTTGTACACAACAGGAATGTGCCGCTGGCCGTGACCCCCCCACCATCCCCCCTGCCCCCAATTGCTTGCACCTGAGAGCCGCCTTGAGGGCACGCTTGGCGCCGTCAAAGTCCCCCAGCGCGTACTTGGCCGAGCCAGTGAGTTTGAAGGCCCGGAAGTGGTTGGCGTTAAGTGCTGTGGCTTGCCTGATTCAGAGGGTGGGGGTGGTTTGTGTGTGGTGGATTGCAATAGTAGGGAGGTGAGCCGTTGCCGGCGAAGCTCAGCGAAAGGGGTTGGGAACGAGCTGGGCAGCAGCCATTCAGGCTCATGCCGTCCACCCCATGGAATTCCCGCTCCCCTCTAGGGTGGCCCCAAAAGTACAGGCACACACTCACTCGTACTCCTCGCAGGCAGCCATGAGCAGGCCCGAGGCCTCCAGCGTTATGCCCAAGTTGACGTGGACCTTGACGGCCAGGGGCCGCTCCGCCTCGCCGGCCGCTGCGCAGAGGGACAGCGCGGCGCGGTACTCCGTCGCCGCTGCAACGTAGTGTGCCAGCGCGAAGCACGCGTTTCCCGCGCGGAAGTGGGCCAGCGGGTCGCGCGGCGCCGCCGCGGCGGCCGCCCGGAAGCTGGTCAGGGCCTCGGCGTGGCGCCCCGCCGCGCCCAGCGCCTGACCCACCTCCAGGGCCGCTGCGGCGCGTGGCGGGGGCGGGAGGGAGTCTACTGCCGCCTGCACGGCGGCCACGTCGTCAACGTTGGCGCCGCCGTCCGCCAGCCGCCGGCGCAGCTCTGCGGCCAGGACCCGGCTGTACTCCGCCTGGAAAGGGGGGGGGGAGAGGGGGCCATTGGAGGGGGTGCATGGTGAGCAGGCAATGTGAGTGATTGAGAGGGTCTGCAGTTGATGCCTGCATCGCTTCCCGTACACCTGAGTCACCGGCAGAGGGTCCCTCCTGCATACATATCGGTGTGAGGCGCAACAGTCCACAAACCGGGTCCCTGCAGTCCCCTCGGCCCCTCTTCCGTGTGATCTCACCACCTCGGCCAGGGTCCGCCCGCTCCAGTCCTGCCCAGGTCTGGTCAGCTCCGCGAGACGGTCTCCTGGAGAATCCTGGGCGCTGTCGACGGCAGGCACGGGCCTGCCCTCCGACTGCTCGACCTCCAGGACTGCGGTTGCCTGGCCAGAGGACTCCCTGCCCGCTCCAGGACTCGCAGCAGGCATCGCTGCAGCGGCCCGGCCGGCCGCAGCATGGGCCCACTCACCGAGGACTGCGACCCCAGCGCCAGCTGTCCCCGCTGAGGTGCCGCGCACAGAACGCGCGGGCGTCGCGCCGAGCGCGGCACCCCCGCCCGTCGCTGAGGGGGTGCATGGCGGTGCGGCAGGCACGCCGCCTTCCACGGAACCTTGCTTGTTGGTGCCGTCTTGTGGCGTCACTTTGTCGAGACTTGCAGGTGCCCGCTGCAGCTGCAGCTCCCTGGCTCGCCCGGCGCTCTGCCGCTCCCGATCGAGCAGGCGTGCCCCCCGCGGCAGCGAAGAAGTCACGGCCTCCAGCACGGCGGCGGTCCCGGGGGAGGGCTGTTCGCTGGACGCCACGCTTTCCAGCAGAGGGCGGGCCGGCAGGGTGACGCTCACCTCCACCTCCAGGTCGCCGGGGACCGCGGCGCCCGGGCCCCCTTGGACCTCCACCACAGCATCGTCTGTGGAGTATTGAAGCGGGGGGTTCTTGGGGGCGGCAGGTCACCGGCACAAAAGAAGCAGGAAACCGAGGCATAATGAATCAGACACAAACACACCGCCCTCCTGCCCAGCGCCTACCTGGCAGTCGGGACCGCAGTGAGGCCAGCATCTCCTCCTGCCTGCTGGGCACCGCCACCTCCCTGCGGCGGAAGAGGCCGCCTGTTCTCTCCACGCGCGGCGCCTCCCAGGCCTCCACGCTCGTGTCGGGGACGTGGACGGAGATGCGCCGCGCCCGCCGCGCTGGCTCTGCCGTCGGCAGCGCCGGGCTGGCTTCCGGGGTGTGCACGCCCGCAGCACCCGCCTCGTCCTCCTCGGACCAGCGCAGCCTTCCCTCTGTTGGTCTGGGCGCCTTGGTGACCATGGTCGGCAGCGACGCAAAGGCGTCCGGGGAGATGGCTGGCCCGGGCGAGGCCGCCGCGCTGGCGGCGGAGTGGCCGGGCATCGGCGTGCCTGGCAGGTCCCACTTATCCTCGCTGAGGTGTGCCGGTGCATAGGTCGCCGCTACCTCGCCGGGGCTCCCATCACCCCGTCTCCCGACAGCGCCATCACCAGCGCCCACGCCCAGCCCTGCCTCTGCGACTTCGCAAGGACCCGCGGTCACGGCAGCCACGCTGTGCCTCGTCGGGCTGCGGCCCGAGGCCGCCGGCGGCGCCCCGACCGCAACCACCCGCCCAAACGTGTCTGGAGACAGGACCTGGCCTGGCTCCAGGCGCAGAACCGCGGCGAGGTACTGCGCCTCCTCCAGCGCCGCCTCGGCGTCGGGGACGTCGTCCAGCGTCACAGCCAGGGACGCCACCAGGCCGCCGCCGGGCGCGGGCGCCAGGCCCCTGACGGTCACCCTGCTGCCCTCTGGATTTGGTTGGGGAAAAGAAGATGAGGCAGTGGGCAGGGCCAAGCAGGCAACGGTGAGAGGTGCCGAGTCAATGGCAGCCCATGCGACGCGGTCAAGGGTACAGGACACTCGAAATGGACACCTGTAGTGCTGCACTAGATTTGGCACCAACTCAAGACCCCAGCCATCCTGCACGCTCTCAAACAGTTCCAAGTCAGCAGAAACTTATTCTGCAGGCAAGGGAGTCCCAGCCATCACCAAAGCACCCTGTGCGAATCCACACGGGCTCACCAGGGCAGGACTCCTGGAGGGCCGCGAGCAGGGGCGCGGGGTCGAAGCCATCCTCCGCGTCCAGCAGCGCCAGGTGCACCAGCACGGGCGGCGGGGGTGTGGCGCTGAGCCGGCGGGCGGCGCGCGGGGTGGGGCGAAGCATGCCCAGCATGCCTGGCGGCGCGGGTGTCCGGAGGGCGGCAAACACGTCGCCGGCCGACTCTTCCTCCTCGTCCGCAGGCGTGGCCGGCAGAGAATCAGAAAGCGCGGCACGGGCGCTCACGCCCCACGTCGAGCCGGGCGCGGCCGCAGTGGGGCCAGTGGAGTTCATTGCCGCGGGCGTCGCCAGCCGGGCCTCGCCGGCCGGCAGCGCTGGGTTGCTGGCGAGGGTGGCCGCCATGCTGGCGGGCCGAGGAAAGGGCGAAACAGTCCAGGGCGTCGCGCCCGGGAAGGCCAGGGGGTGCATCACCACGGGAACCCCAGGCCCTGCTTTCTTCCCCGTATCGCGCGCTACATCGTGCGGCCGGGTGCCTCGTGCGGGAGGGGTGCCGCGCAGCGCCGCCCCGCCCGCCGGCTGCGGCGTCCCGCTCGGAGAGGTCACGGAAGCCGCGCGCACAGAAGGGATGAGATCCCCTGCTTCCCCGCTGTTCTGTCGCGCCAGCTCCGCCAGGTGTTTCTGGGCGCTCAGCAGCTCCATCGGGGTGGGAGATGGCGCCAGAGGACTCGGGATGGGAGGGGTGGCTTGCGGCGTCTGCTGGGGAGGTTTGTGGGGTTTGCATGGTACACTATTGTCTAGAGGACAGAATACGGATTCTAGATAGGCACATGAAAGGACCACAGGCTCCAGCAAGGCAGGTCACAATCAGCTCATGCAATGCGTGTACTGTAAATATGATGTCAGTTTGGGCCACCCATAGTCAGCGACCTGCCACCCCAGGACGGCATAACCAGGTACAAGAACAACACACCTCTTCCAGGGCACGCTTCGCCTCAAGGGCGTCTGCGGCCCGATCGCAGACCAGACGATAGTCATGCTCTATGTCGGCCAGGCCGCTGGTGTACAGACTACGCAGGCCGTCCCGTGTCAAGCCGTGGGAGGAGATGTGGTCCGAGAAGGACGCCCATATCTGCATGGGCGGAGGTGAGAGTTGCAGATGCACTGTCTTAGGCAAGGCATTTGGGCCGGGCAAAGAGCAGCCATTCATTGACGATAGCTTGCACAAGAGAGTCTCCATCGTACCTCTTCGACGATGAGCTGTATCTGTTCCTCTGTCAAGGCAGAGTCCGGGTTGCAGGATCGGAGGAGCCAGGCGACCTCATCCTGAGCCACGGGACCATGTCGAGGGTTTAAATGCAATGGGGGACGAACGGTGCGGCGAGTGCTGGCTAGAATTTTAATGTCTTCCGAGCATTATATGCCCCTCATCCATGGACTCCTCACCTCGTCGAGGCCGCTGTCGGCATTCCGATCCGAGGCGGAGAATATGTGCTGCACCCGCAGCTCAAATGGCTGCAGCGTAGCCGTCATGCTCCTCCAATGGACATTCCTCCGGAAACAGGATGCAGTCAGTGCGTATGCGAGGGCCTGGTGCGCCGGGTGGTTGCGCCAGCGTGAGTAGCGGCAGGGCGCAACAGCTGTGCGAATTTGTGTAAACGGAGCCGAGGGTACTAATTTGGTACCGACTTCCGGGATGGAGCTGGGGTTGCACCCTGAGATCAAGACGTATGCTAGAGTATTTGGCCTTCACATCACCCAAAATATACACGATAATAATAAATAAAACTCTTTGAGCATGCGTGGTTGGAGCATCGGCCCCATTGCATGACTAAGTTGTGCTTCCCAAATCCACGCCAGGACGTATTGCGCCAAAGTCTTGTGGCAATGACCGGGATGTCGCAAAAATGATACCGAAAGATCAAACATAGTCATCGTAACCTGAATTCATACTCTAGCGGGCCTACTGCTTATCGACGGAGCAGGCGAGTTGCTGGTTTGAGGTCCTCCAAAGTGATCACTTTTGGACCGGGCAAGTCATAAACTTAAACCTCTGTCCGACTTTATTCCAATTAATTCCACGCGACAGTTTGTTTTGGTATCATGGCGCCTGCGAGTAATGGCGCTTCACATTCAGGCGCTACGCCAGGGGCTCAGCAATCCAACCCGCCAACGACATCGGGAGCTCCTCAGGTGATGATTGGCAGAATACACATATATACCTTCTCGAAAGCCTATCCGCCTGCCTATGACAACAATCACTGGGGATCGGGAGTATATGTGCAGCATTTAAGCCACCTTGCCACTCTCCCCGAACCTTCAGTTGAATGAGGCACAGCTCCTGGCGCTGAATCCCAATGCTGTGCTGGTCAGCAAGAGGCAAGAGGGCAATCCCGTGCTGCGACACATGCGCAATGTGCGGTGGCAGTTTGGGGACATCGTGCCGGACTACCTGGCAGGCCCCAACACCGCCATCCTCTTCCTCAGCCTGAGGTGAGCGCATGTTGATGTCTGATGTACCCTTGCATGCTAATGGCTGAGGCTTGGTTGGATGCATGATTGGGGCATGCTCACCGATAGTTTGCTGTCGTTTGCTCGAAGGCCATTCAGCTTTCTCTCCCTCCCCTGGCTTTCCTGTATGTGGCACCCAGGTTTCACTTGCTCAAGCCTGAGTATATTTATGGGCGCATGAAGGCGTTGCAGCGAGCCTACCGACTCCGTGTGCTCCTGTGTCATGTAGACACCGAGGATGCTGTCGGTCCCTTGGGAGAGGTGAGCGTGGGTACACCCGCTGAACCTCTCTCTTGATGGTCCAGTGGAGCTCCTAGGAGCCTGAGAACCGTCTCAGCCTCCCAGCGCACCTGTCTTTCGTGCAATCCCTCCCAGGTGACCAAGGCTGCCATTGGACTGGAGTGCACCCTCATATGCGGCTTTTCGCCGCAGGAGTGTGCGCGGTACATTGAGACATACAAAAGGTGCATGCGTGAGAGCATCAGCAGGGGTTGTGGTTGGGAACATTCTGTACTCAATCCTGGGCAAGGCGCTGTTGGCAAGCCAGCTCTGATGCCCTTGTACATGACAAGCAGCCACACATTCATGGCGCACAATGTACAGCTTTATAATTGCCGATTGCAACCTCAACAGTTATGAGAGCAAGCCGGCAGACAGCATCCAGAAGTCGGTGGGCTCGGACTTTGTCTCGACCGCCACTGCTGCGTTGACATCCCTGCGGGGGGTAAACAAGACAGATGTCAAGACCCTAGGAGACAGGTGCCAGAGGGAGTGAGTGGGATGGACACATGCAAACTGACACAGAAACTCCGGCCATGGAGCTTGCCTTGGCGTTGAGGAGTTCATCTTGATGTGTCTCAATGCTGTATTAGGTAGCCTCTACACAACACACCCTGATTGATGTATCCAATAACGATTGAAACAGGTTTGGATCTATGGCTGCACTCTTCTCTGCATCCAAGGAGGAGCTCGCACTCTGTCCAGGCCTGGGGCCCACCAAAGTGAAGCGGCTATTTGAAGCGTGAGCTGAAGCGGTGATTGTGAGGGAAAACTGTAGGTAGACCCTGTAATTTGCAAGAAGATGTAGCAGCTTTGACTAGATGGAACGTTCTCTGTGATGAACTCATGTGAGCACCTTCTCGCACCAGTATGCAGGTTCCACGAGCCCTTCAGGAATACCCTCGTGCCGCAAGCAGCACCAGAAGTGAGAGCTGCCTCGCTGGGACGGCCATCGCAAGTATTCCAGCTTGTGGACGCCCAAGCTGCAGCGGAAGTCAAGGTTGCTGTGGCCGCTCCTCCAGATACCCAGGCGCAGCCTGGTCCTGCGGTGACAGATCCTGCTGAAGATCCCATTCCGTACAGCTTGGAAGATGAGGATGATGACGACTTCGCCTGATGTGTGGGAGAGTGGGTGCGGACCCCTTCTCTGCAGAGTCAGTCCCCTGGTTGAGCTTGTAACTGAGAGCCTCAAGAGCACTAGTTCAGCGCGCGCAAACTCAGAAGTCCGAAACCGGTGCTGCATGCAAATTCAGAGGCAAGGGATGGAGCGTTAAAGAGGCTCCCACTGAATTTTAAGTCGGTTTCTTAGCAAATACTGAACATAAAAGTTAATCGTGCAACGCTTCTCGAGGCGACTGGATGCTGCGGTGGTCTCTCTGAAAAACCAGCCGTGCACTGCTCTCCGCCCTGGCTTGGCACTGAATGAAGCATGCCGACTCGAAGAAGAGGCAATCACAGTCTCAAAAATCTGTGGAGAGGAAACGGTTAGATGGTCGGCAGCCCCTGGAAGGTGCTGCGCCGCAAACGTCTGCACACCAACGACCCAATGCCGCCGCTCCTGGGCCCAATGTGCAGGGCATCAAGTATAGCACAGTGAGTGAGGAGCAAGGAGATTAAAACAGATGCATCATGGACGGCATGCAGCAGCACATCACGGTGTGCTCGGCATGAGAGCCAACCCATGCTCACCACTCCTTCCAAACCCCAGAAAGCTGGCAAGCAGGCGGCGCGACAACCTTTTGTCCCTGGGCCGTCCCTCCCAGCCCAGAAACTGTCGAGCGGTAGGCAGGCTTTCGATGAAGGGACAGGCCGTGTTGTCTTCTGGTCTGGCAGGAGGGCCCCTGGCTGACCGACCTTGGTGATGCTTGACTGTGCACCAGGCTGGTCATTCACCTTGAAGGATAGGGTCTTCCACACAGCATTACACCATGGGCTCCTGTACACTCGCGCCGTTGCCTCGCCATCCTCACAGGAAAGAACAAGGGCAGTATCCTGGATCGCATGCGCCAGCGTCTGACGGGCGGCCGCTTCCGCTGGCTGAACGAGCAGATGTACACCAGCGAGGGTGCCGACGCGCAGCGCCTGATGCAGCAGCACCCAGCATACTTTGACGAATACCACGAGGGTGAGGGGTGCGGAGGAGTAGGGTTGCAGGTGCTCTTTTTCCAAGTCTCAGGCGAGGTAGGCCCAGTGTAATGTATCAGTTAACACCCCTTATCATGATCATCAATCCGATCCCTCCCCCCCCTCCCTCCCCCTCCAATTCCTATGCAGGCTTTCGGGAACAGACGCGGTCCTGGCCCCAGCTCCCAGTAGAGACCGCGCTCTCCTGGCTGGCCTCATGCCCCAAGGCCTGGCGTGTGGCCGATCTGGGGTGCGGCGATGCCCAGCTGGCAGTGCGCGCAGCGCAGCGTGTCTTCAGCTACGACCTGGTCGCACGTGCTCCTGGCGTCGTGGCCGCCAACATGGCGGACCTGCCGCTGGGCGACGCCGCCGTGGACGCGGCGGTGATGTGCCTGGCGCTGATGGGTACCGACTACCCCGCTTTCCTGCGGGAGGCGGTGCGCATCCTGAAGCCGGGGGGGATCCTCTGGATCGCAGAGGTGCAGAGCAGGTGGGATGTGGGTGGATGGGAGGTGCTGCGGATTTCTTAGGTGGGGATGATGACAGAAGCATATTCACCCATCGGGCCGGTGACTCCCTGCGTGTGCTGTAGGCTGCAAAGGCAAGTGGTCCCCAGGGAGGTCGATGTTGCTTTGTGCTTTGAGTATGGGTCACCATGCTCACTTCCTAAGCCGGCATGCCCTCTGCAGGTTCATGCAGGAGTCGGGGCAGGGCAGCATCCTGGAGCCCTTCATTGCTGCCGTAGAGGGGCTGGGGACCGAGCTGAAGTTCAGGGACGAGAAGAACCCATACTTCCTGCTGCTGCGCTTCAAGAAGCAGTCCAAGGCCGCGGTGGCAGATGTGGAACTGGACGAAGATGAGGCGGCCTGGCCCACGCTGCGCGCCTGCCAGTACAAGAAACGATGACATGCAATGCAATGGCTAAGAAACGAGCACGGTGCTATGGATGAGAATTTTTACAGAGTCAAGTACCTCGAACCGAGGAGGGGTGCGGGTGTTGGACTGAAGGAGGATCTCCTCGGATCCTGCAGTTGCTGGAAGGAACGGGCTCCGGCCCGGCTTGATCCGGTGCTTCCCCGAGTATGAGGTTCGGCAGTATGGCGCGCCCCTCCTTCGGCATCCCCTCGAGGCTGAATGCTCTTGACACGCATTTCCCTGCCTCACCTTGCGCACACGCACCGCTCCCCCTGCGGCCGTCGAGGCTCCTAACGATCTCTTGGCGGACAGGCATGGTCCGGCCTGCCTCGTGAGGTGGCCCTTCCTTGAGTGCATGCCAAGTCCACGCCATGGCCCTGTGTAGACCTCTGCTAGGCCTCATGCTGCTACTGGGCCTGGCCCTGGATGGAGAGGCCGGGAGCAGCGTGCACACTGTGTTCCCCACCGAGTGCACCCGATACTTTACATGGCAGTCCATGGGTGCGCCGCGGCCTTGATGCCTGCAGATCCGCATAATTGGGATACATGAACGTGTTCCCAGCACGCCAATTGCTTGCACCGCGGCCCTCCCGGTAATATACCTGCCAGCTGCAGGTACATCCTCCCCAACCCTCCATTCCCACCCCACCCCCGCAGGCATGATGCTAAGCCACCGCCTGGCGGGCCAGCCCGGCCCCCTGACCCGGATCATGTCGTGCACCCACGAGGAGCTGGAGGCCATGTCCCCCGAGGAGCGCAACATCTGCCCAACCCACGTGGCCCCCTCCTACACGGTGCACCCCCGCACCGGCGACATATACTCCGCCTACAACAAGCCGGTGGCGGTGATCGACTGGCTGGCGCGCACCGAGATCAAGGAGGAGTACGTGCTGATCATCGATGCCGACATGATCATGCTCACCCCCTTCCTGCCGGACGAGGTGGGCGCCTCCCGCGGCTGGGCGGTGTCGGCCTACTTCTCCTACATGAAGGGCGTGAACAACGAGCTGGCGCTGAAGCACGTGCCAGAGGTCACGCCCCGCAACGACACCCTGGCGGGGCCCAGGGGCCGGCGCGGCGACATGGTCGGCGGCTTCACCCTCATGCACTCCGAGGATCTGCGCCGCGTGGCGCCCCTCTGGCTGAAGTACTCGGAGGACGTCCGCTTCGACCCCGACGTGCGGAGTGGTTTCTGCAGTGTTTCTTGGGAAGGGAGGGGGTCTGGGGGGGGAGAGGAGCGGAGTATCACAGCATGAGGGGTGCTCAGGATATGGTTGAATTCCAGGGATGCAGCAGCACGAGGCAACTGCCAGCTGGGCAGCTGTCAAACCCTGGCAACCTCTTGTCGGCCACGGCACGAGGTCAGGACCCTCTTTACCCTCTCCACATCCGCAAATACCCTCCCCTTTCCCTCTTCCCCCAGGCGTGGACGCTGTCCGGCGACCACTACAGCGTGAACAAGGGCGACCGCCCCTGGATCTCGGAGATGTACGGCTACTCCTACGCAGCCTCCAAGTCCGACGTATGGCACCACGTCGACCACTCCGCCATGCTCTACCCGGGCTACAACGTCAAGGGTGCGCTGGGGGGCGGCTGGAGGGGGAGGTGGGGGCCTTGGGCCAGCGCCCGCTCTCCAGTATGGTGGGCCGGCGTGCGGTGTGCTTGCTCGCCGTGACGACCTGTGCATGTCTGGGGCATCGCACGGGCGTGATCTCCGGCTGGGTGAGTGCATGAGCATCTAGATCTTGCCTCTACCCACCCCTCAACACCACTGCCCTCCCCCACCATCGCAGTACTGCCCAAGGTGCTGCACTATGGCCTGAAGATCGAGGTCCCCAACACGCCCTGGGTGTTTGACAAGCACTACCACTACGACTTTGACGCGATGATGTGTCCGCCCTGGGACCTAAAGTGCGTGGCGATTGGAAAGGAGGGGACAGTGGGCCAAATCTCATCTAGGAGGGGCTGGTTGGGGGAGCATCCCTGCAAGGGCCAGTCTGACTCCTGGATTGTCTGCCATGGCAGCGACAGTGCTGTCTGAGGGAATGCATGGGGTTTCAAGATTCTCCCTGAGCAATAAATGCCTCAAACTGCAAGGAGGGACACTGTCACCTGCACTCCACTGTCCCGAGTCCCCTCCTCCTTGAACCACCCCCTGCTAGGCTGTTTCCCACCGCCACACCCCTCCATCCGCTTCCCCCCAACCCTCCACACACCACAGCGACCCGCCCGCGGGCAAGAAGGGCGGCCTCTTCCCCCGCACGCCCCACCCCGATTCCTTCAAGGGCTCCGACTCGGACGTGCTGCGGGACCTGCTGGCCATCCAGACGGTGGTGGTGCTGAACGCCGCCTTCTGCGAGCGGCACGAGAAGGCCTGCCCGCCCTCGGAGCAGCTGTCCACGGAGTGCGCGGCGGCGCGGTCCACCCTGGACGCCCTCCAGCGCCGGATGAAGGAGCAGGTGGACCGCATGCCCGACCCCTGCCGCAACAGCGACACGCGGTGCGAGGGCTGGGCCAAGGCCGGCGAGTGCCAGAAGAATGAGGGCTGGATGGCGGATTACTGCTCGCTGGCCTGCGCCGGCTGCAAGCCCAAGACGCCGCCGGCGCGGCCGGGCACCAAGGCCCCCGTGCTGACCGACGGCGAGGGCGCGGGCCTGAAGAAGGGGGGGGGCGTGGGACTCCTACGCGGCGCGACGGACGCCGGGGTCCTGGCAGGCAAGGACACGGCCAAGGATGCGGGGGCAGCGACGGTGGACGCCGCCAAGGATGCGGGGGCAGGCGCAACCGACGCCGCCAAGAACGTCGCCACGGGGGCGGTGGACGCCGCCAAGGACGCGGTCACGGGCGCGGTGGACGCCGCCAAGGAGGCCACCGCGGGCGCGGTGGATGCAGCCAAGGAGGCCGCGACGGGGGCCGTGGACGCGGCCAAGGACGCCGCGGCCAACATCGCGACTGCGGCCGAGGACGCCGTCAGCGGCGGCGACTCCGGCGGCGCCGTCCCCGCGGAGAGGGTGGAGCGCCTTCGCGCGCGCTGCACGCGCCAGCCGCACTGGAGCATGGGCGCGGTGAAGGCCTGCCTGGCCGCCGCCAGCAAGGGGCGCGAGTACCAGCACCCCAGCGAGGCCTCGCGTGGCGCGGGGGTGGGGTCGGAGACGGTTCGCACGCTGGGCGAGCGCACGCGCCGCCTCGTCGCTGGCGCGGGCCAGAGCACGGCAGGCGCGGCGGGGAGCGTGCTGCACACCCCCGGCATCCTGGGTGAGTGTTTTTTCGGGGGCGGGGGGGGGTAGGCGAAGGGGGAAAGGGGGTCGGGGCGGGCGAGGTCGACCGGCCCGTC